TCCATGAGTCCTTGCTATATGTTCCTTGACTTTCCCCTTCCCTTCCCTTTCCCCCCCTCCTTCCCTCTTGTCTCTGTTGATTTCTTTTCCTTTCAATGTTGCTGGTCAAATTTGTACTTCTTAATCGACAGGGACATTTCTCCAGCTATATACCCAACACTTAGTAAATGCTTGACTCAGTAAATACTCAACAATTTTTAAAGGAATAAATGAATAGGTACAACATTAACTTATCATTTGGGGGCTTAATTTAGTTTTTATTTTATCCAAGTAATCCATATTTATTTTAGACAGTCAGCTCTTGACCCAAGGCTTATAAGGAAAACAGCATAATGTTCCCCAGCCCTTCTCCCAAGTCCCACTCGCTGGAGCTGCAACTTTGAGCTTTTCCATGTTCCTTTGTTACTTTCTTTGGTGTCTGGAATAACCTGCGGTGCTGCTATGTCTTGATTTGTCATATTTGTAGTGTTGTCAACACCATCTTATTGTCCCTCCCATTTCCAGAGTTCCATTTTTTTTCTATTTTATTACTGAGAATTGAGTCATCGAAGGTAAATTTTTTGGTCCTTTCCATATCTCAGTGCATATTTTTTTTTCCTTGTAACATGGAAACTTGGCTCTAAATCATCCCTTTCCCTTAGAATTTGAAGTTGCTTTGCCTTAGAATTTGAAGTTACTTTTCTTTCATTATTGCTAATGTGAGCTCTGATGCCATTCATATACCTGGTTCTTTGTGGGTTTTCTTGTTTGTCTGTTTCTCTCTCTTCAGGATCTTGTATGATTTTTTTCTTTATCTCTAGTGTGTTGATGATGAACCTAATGTATTGTGCTTTTATATGTGTGTTTCACTCCTTAGAATGGCATAATCTTGAATTCTTTCATCTGAAAATTCATACCTTTGTTTTTGGAGAAGTGTTGGATAGTTTTCCTCCTTCGGTTTCTCCTGTTCTCTATTTCGAGAACTCCTTACTTGGTTTGATGTTGAATCACCTAGAACAGTGGCCTTCACACTTACACATGCATCAGAATCACCTAGAGGAGATATTAAAGCAGGTTGCTACTTTGTCTAGAGAAGAATCCTACGGGGAGCCTCAGAAGACCAGCAGCCAGTCTCCTCGGAGCTAGACTGGGAAAGGTGTAGTAGACTTTCAGTTTAACATGTGGAATTGCTTAGGTTCTTTCAGTGACGTGCCTCACCTCTGCTCTCAGCCAGGTCTGGCATTTTACAGTCCAGAGCTCTGATGCCTTATTTCTCCAGCTAGTTAACAGCTCAGTTGGGATGGGATGGATGAATCCCTTGGCCATGGCATGATTTGGTTCCATCTTGTCTTTCGCCCTTCAGGCACCAGGCAGAGCAGGAAAAGATGAAAACCAAAGTCCTACTTCTGACTCTCACACAGGCCTGTTGATAGGACTTAGAACAGAGTATTTCGGTTCTTTGGGGGTTTGTATCCTAGGTTGTATGTTCCTGAATATAAGCATTTAACATTGTTTTATGTCATTTTCTCCCAGAATTGCAAGTGATTTATTAAGATAGTACTCCCAGGAGCAACCAGTAAGGGAAAGAAGGGCAGGCAAAGGGAAGAAATTAAGGAAGAACACAGTGTCAGGTAGAAGGACCCCCAGCCTCACCTGATTCCATGGGAAGCTCTGCATTACATCTTCATATTTACCCGAGCTCCAAGCAAATGTGCTGGGTCTCTGTACTTCCATGCCAGTTACGGGCTAAAGGACGTCGTGATATGGGGGAAACGAAACTCCCAGAGATTTCCAGCTCTTGGTACTGGCAAAGTGACCTCAAAAGTACTGGCAAAGGAGTCCAAAGGACTCCTGAAGGTCTTGAGTGTGCGCCCTTACCAGCAAAGCATGGGGAGGGTGGGTCCCAGCGCTGACTAAATGGATCCAGGGATTGCTGAGCAGGTACCAAGAGTACCCACTAAATAATTGAACAGAGGAGTGGCCACCCTCCTAGTTGTAAAACACTTTGCACTTTACAGAGGGTTGTTTTTCTTGCATCTCTTATTGTAATTGATCTTCAGAAAAATTTTATAAGGAAAGAAGAGCATATTATTATTCTTGTTTTTCAAAAGTGAGATAAGGCAGATTAAGTGACTTCTTAACATCTTCAGATTCTAAGCCTAGAGTTTACTCCAGCATGCTGCATCATATATAAGAATTTTATAAATATTTTATGTAGACACATAGGGTGCATGTAAATATGAATTATTTAATCTAAGTATCATGATGACTTTCATTATTTAAAATCACAGAAAATATTATAAGAAATAACCTACTTTTTAGTGTTAAGATTTTTTTCTACTTAGATCATTTAACATTACATAGCAAAATTGAGTGAAGTACTATGCTCCGTATGAGATGTTTCTATAGTTTAATTCCCACCATCATTCAAGGCTTCTCCCTGTGTTTCACTGTTTAGATGTTTTAATTAAAGCCCATGTGAAATAAACATATTAAAACCTGGAGCACAGCAAGAGGTTTTTTCATTTAGAATGTACTTGGAATTCTTCCATAATTTTCCCATATAGCCTATTTACATATAATACTTAATGACATTTCTGCTGAAGCATGGGTATTCTTTCTGTAAATATTTCCAGTTACTCTCCTAGTCTGTTATTGACACATCAGATACTTTGTTCCTCTAGGTGAAGAATCAACAATAAAGAATCTACCTTTGTCTCCCTGTTGTGTTAGCACCAGGTTGCCCGCTCATGGGGAATCTCTGAATGATGAATTCAGAGATGTTGAGAATGGGAGTTTACCCCGTGGATTTACTCAGAACTAGATAGCCCCTATTGTGGTAACTCCCTTCCTGTCACTTGAACCCGTTATCCTTTCTGGATGATCTAAAACAGCACTTTACAAACCTGACGGCATATTAAAATCACCTGGGAAGCCTTAAAATCCACAGATGTCCTGGTTCTGCCCCAGACCAATTAAATTAGACTCCTAGGCACTGATCAAAGTTTAAAGGTCCCATGTGATTCTATCAAATAGTAGTCAAGGTTGAATATACTCATTTGACATAGAAAAAATGTGACAGATACATTAGTGTTGGGAATAGATTTGCTTGTCTCCCACATCTTAGTAGCTGGTTTTCTGTTTCTCTTAAGCTGAGAATTTCTCCATTCATTTTGGTCTTTTTTGCAGACCTGGTCAACAAACTTGGGATCTTGGTTGGGCAAACAGAATGCCAAATGGCATTGTCTCTAGGCTCTAGCAGAAGTTGTGTGGTATACTTTGAGCTTGTTAGGAATTATAGAATCTGAGAAGCAAAATGTCTTTGTTTTTATCTTAATGCTTATGTCCCATATTTTGAGCTCACCTTTTGTATTTGCCTTCTGTGGTTTTTCTGATCTGTTGATATTTTCTAATTCTGTTCCTTAGACTTTAGTACAAAGAAACACCTGTGATGCTTTTATAAATATAATTCCCTAGCCCTACCTTAAAGGTGTTGATTTATTTGATTGAGAAATCCGCATTATATTTTAACCAGCTTCCTGAGTAATCCTCAAGCAGGTGATACAAAGACCCCAGTTTGAAAAATGAAAAGTCTAATTTCTTTCATTGTTATTGTTATTTTTACATGAATGAAAGAATGTCTAAATGTGGTCTTAAAAGATACTGTGACATTGCTATTTTGTTCCCTTCCATTAAGTGAATTAATACACAAAAAGACTGTGTTTTAATCATTTGATCTAAAGTGTATACGCACACATCTATTTATATAAAGGTGATGAAATTATGACTCACTTTGATGGTATAATTGGTAGTGTGTAACAAAAAAATCTTTGTGAAATTATATACATTTAATAAATTTAATGATTATTTGCTATTTATATAGAAATACTTTATAGAGTAAAATACCCATATTTCAATTCTAATTGCTCTTGAATATTTTATGATATTGGACTTTTATTTAGGAGGTATTATCTCTTTAGAATAGAAGATTTTGTTACATTAATTATTATGAAAGTTTTTTGATAGATCAGTTTTTAACTAAAAAGTTAAATATCAGGGATATTTGATAATACAGTAAAATTGTAGACCATGTATGTTTTATTTTTAATGTAGTTTAGCTTAAACTTTGCTGGATGGTATATATTGGGTATTTTAAATGTTTGTTCTTTAAAACTACATGCTATTTAAGTGTCATAATTGGAAAAACAAAGAAAAATGTTTATTTGAGGTAATAAACTTGTAGTGAACCATATTAATATCTTAAAATGCACTGTTGACATTTAAATACATTAACAAACAAGAAGCATTTATATGCTTTGAGTTTACAGATAACTTTTTCATTTTTAATATGTTTTAAATTTTAAATTTTGAGGTCAACTTTATTCCCTTGGGCTCAATGAAATAACTTTTTCTTTCCAGTAAATAAAGTTTTCTTTCCAGTAAACATCTACAAGTAAAATAGTCAGGAAAATGTGTTTTTAAAAATTTTTTGAATAATAAAAACTTTCTGTGGTTAAATAATATATTAACATTTAAAAACATTTTTTTATTGTTAATTCAATTACAGTTGTCCCAATTTCTTTTTTCCCTTTTGTTTCCCTCCACCCAGCCCACCCCTCTCACCCACAGTCAATCCCCTCTCCATTGTCCATGCCCATGAGTCATTCATACTTGTTCTTTGACTAGTCCCTTCCCCTTCTTTCCACGATTCTCCTGCTCCCTCCTCCCCTCCTACAGCTCTCAGTCTGTTCCATGTTTCCATGTCTCTGGTTCTACTTTTCTTGTTAGTTTATTTTGTTCATTAGATTCCAGTTATAAGTGAGGTCATATGGTATTGTTTTTTGCCAACTGGCTTGACATTTTCATATAATTTAAAATATAAATTAATTAATAACTCCTGTTTAATTAGGATTTGGATTTACATTACTATTTCATCATTCTATTATGTCATGTTATATTTCAAAATGATTTAATGATATATAATGAAGTAAAGCCTGTGTCTCACAAAAGAAAATTTTCAGTTTCTTGGCAGTACAGAGGTGGAGCAGCCTAAAGGAACAGAAGTTGTCAGAGATGCTGTAAGAAAACTAAAGGTAGGGAAAGCCCTTCGAATAAATGTCTAATGTATTGATCCTGTCTTAAGTCATCAGTAGATTAATGGAAATTCAAAGCATGAATAACTTTGTGGTAGATATGGCTTACCCTGTTAAAAAATGGACTATTGAATAAATATCACCAGATCAAGGAAAAATATTTGATAATGTGTGTACACATAATGAATTATTTTTCTCATTTTGGCACACTTCATATTTTTCTAAGTGTAATTTCTCATACATAACAAAAAAATGTAATGGCAGTATTTCATAAGTTTTGACATTCAGTAGCTTGCCTTTAATTTGCTTGGACAATGTGGACTCATGCCCTAACTCAGAAACTAGTAATGGTGTAACAACTATCTCTAATAGTTAGAATGTCTTATCCAACTTATCCACCAGGTAAAAGTGTGAAATAAGGGAAAGGCATTAAGAAGTACACATTGGTAGTTACAAAATAGTCACAGGGATGTAAATTACAGCATAGAGATTATAGTCAATAATATTGTATAACTATGTATGGGGCCAGGTGGGTACTTGAAATATCGGGGGGACCACTCTCTAAAGTACATGATTGTCTAACCACTATACTTTATGTCAGAAACTAATACAGAATAGTATTGAATGTATACTTTATCTCAGAAACTAATACAGAATAGTATTGAAAGTAATTGAAAAATTTTAAAAAGATTAAATGAAATAGTGTGAAGTCTTGGTACATAATAACTTCTCAATAAATTCGATCTATAACAATTAAAAAAAGAAAAAGAAAGTATGAAGTCAGAATTGATTCCAAAGCAGAATTTTACAGTGACACTATAGATTAAAGATGTCTCTATGGACAAATCCAAGAGGACCTGGCCATGTCTATGAGCGGACATGGGAACTGATGAGACAAAGAGCAGACAAGGACATTTAGTTAGCAACTTCACACACTCGTAATCAGCAAGTTTCCTGAGAAAATTTTATGTAAGATATTGCACATCTTAGCTTGTTTTTTTAATTGTATCCAATCCTAAAAGACATTGTTTTCAGTGAAATTTTAAGATTTTTAAAAGTTCCTTCAGCAGAATTCTCATCTTTTTTATTGACATATAACTAACATATAACATTACATTAACTTTAGGAATATAATAATTAGATATTTGTATATATTGTGAAATGATCACCACCATAAGTCTAGTTAACACCTTACACCACACAGAATATTTTTTCTTGTGATGAAAACTTCTAAAATCTACTCCCTTAGCAACTTTCAAATATATAGTATATTTTTAACTGTAGTCACTATATTGTATCTCCAGGACTTATTTATTTTATATCTGAAAGTTTGTACCTTTTTATTACCTGTACACAATTTGTTCCCATCCCACCACCTGCCTCTGTCAACCACCAATCTGTTGTCTCTATCAGTTAATTTTTTTTTTTAGATTCTGCATGAGACCATTTCACTGATTTATTTTACTTCAGCACAATGTCCTAAAGGTCCATCTATGTCTCAAATGGCAAGATTTTCTTCTTTTTTATGGCTGAATTACACACACACACACACACACACACACACACACACTATCTTCTTTATCCATTCATCAATGAACGCTTTGTTGCTTCCATCAGATTTCTCATCTTTATCTTATTAAGAAAACCTAACATACCATTGCAACAACAGGGCCTTGTCACTTTGTTTAATGTTGTTTTGTTAAAATGTTGATGAGATGCAATAAGAAATTAACTGTTGTTTCTGTCAATTAGCCTATGGTAAAATTGGTTTCCTTATAAATTGCATGGCCATTGTTCAAAGAACCTATTGATGACGTTAACTAAGGACTTACTTTGTTTATAGAGTTGTTATTATCTATAGCTGCTCTCACAGTTGTTGTTTTTTTTGTTTGTTTTTTTTTAAGTAATAGCTCCTCTCTAACTTTATTTAATTTAGAAAAGTTAGGCTTCACATTGTGCTAGACAAAGCCATGGACAGTAAAAAGTATTGTTTTGCTTTGAGAATGTTACACCAGGCAGATTCTGAGTGTTTAAATTGAGGAGAAATTAAAGTGGGATGGCTTGTATTCTGGGCGAAGAAATAAAAGTGGATAATATTTTTATTCATTTTATATGCAGATATTTTATCAAATGTTATAAGTAAATATACTAAAAGGTCCCAAGATGGTATCACTCCCACTTGGGAAAAGAACTAGCCAACCATTTCTTTCCACTACTCGTTTGGTAATGATTCAGACTTTCCATTTTTTGGCCAATACTTTAAAGTTACTAATGGAGATTTTTTAAAGTCTCACAGTTTATAGACAATATTTAGAATAAGATTCTATTTCAATGTTCAGAATGTTTCACTCTCTGGGCATGAGTCCAACTCCACTACAATCATAATATTTATAAAAGAATAATGGTATTTATGCTTAATGTTTCTTAGTACCTAAGAGGTTCTTTATTCAGTCAACCCAAATCCCTAACCAAAAGGATTCAATTACATAAAGGCTAGATAAAATGTAAAGAGATATTTGAAATGAAGTGCTTTCTAAACAGAGCTAGTTTTTACATACAGGTGGGGCAAAGTAGGTTTATGGTTGTTTGTATGGAAAATAATACAATAATTAAAAAATAGTAGTACAAGAATAAACTCTGTGTTTCATGTACTCACAATTGTAAACCTACTTTTGCTCTACCCCATATTTTTGGGATTTTTATGCAGTTCTTATGTGGTGTTATGCTTGAAAATATACTTTGTTAAGAAAGGAATGTGATTTACAGTAAAAACACTAGGTGGTATAGTTTAAAAATGCACAGCCAGTTGATAATAGCTTTGTATTTCAGGTATCTTCCAGAAAAAATAATATGTATGTAAAAAGCAATCTTTAGTTGGCTGATTGCAAAAATTTTGTAGATCAGGAGAGTGTATCTGAAGGTGATGATTCAGGAACCAATGAAAATTAATGAAAGAATGTTTTTTATGCATTCTTAATTTGTGTGCGTGTGTGTTAGAGGCTACAACTCAAAAATTCATAAGAGTATTTCCATTTTTAACAGTATTTACATCCTGGCTCTTAATTCTGTTGTCACATAGAAATGGCCAGAAGATGGTGCTATGGCTCTACTTAAAATAAAGGAATTTGCTCATTAACTTTGTGTACATATCTCCCATTTTAATTTGCTGCTTATTTTTCTTAAACACACGTATTCTGCATTTTATCCACTATGGTATAATGTTTTATTTTATTTGCTAAGTACTTTATTTATATTTACTTTAAGATTCTGTATTTCTTAGAAAAACATCTTATATTTCTTGTGTTTTAGCCTGAGATTTAAGAAAATAACAATTTTTCCAAAATGTAATAATTTTAAAACCCTTTCAACTTCTAGATATTTAATATCAGTGTTACTTTAATGGATTTAATTTTTAATAGTATTTAGTTGTTTTTATGAGTACAGCTAGCATAAATTTTAGAGGACTCCAATAAATAAGGAATATAGCCTCAGGAATAACCCTCAAGTTATGTTAAATCTAGGTCCAGCAGTTTTTTCATTCAAGTTCATTTTCTCCATTTAACTTGACACTCTGTTTTGTTTTTTCTTTTTGTATTTATGATCACAATAAGTCTAGTTAACATCTGTCACCAGATGAGGACTTTTAAGATCTATCCTTAGCAACTCTCAAATATACAGTACAATATTGTTAATACAGTCACCATGCTTGTACATTACACCCGCATGACATGATGCTCTGTTTTCATCTTCATAACCAGTCATTTAATTAATGAAATGGTTAGACCTTAATTTAATTACAAACATACATACATAATTGATTTCCCTGTTGGATTATTAAGAAGACTTTAAAATAAATTAACAAATATAAGAACCACAAAAAAAAAAAGGTAGCTCAGAATATTTGGCCCAAAATAATACATTTATTAATTTTCTTGCCTAATAATAATATACACATCATTGGTAATAAAGTTAGATTTCTTTTTTTTAAGTCTTGTGAGAAATGAATAGAAATTGCATGATGATGACATTGAAAACCTTTAAGTTTTCTTTAATTGTTCCACTTACCAGTGACATATATTTAACCTAGTACTTTATGTATTTCAAGTAATAGGCCATCCTTTCCCATCATTTTACGGTAATGAAAACAATGGCTTGTTTGTGTTCATTCGGTGTATCCTCCAGGATGCTTATGCTTTACCTATTTTGAATAATTGTTATTTTGGATTGTTACATGCAAGCTTTAATGGTAGATCACTGTCTGGATGACCAAGAAATGAATCCATTGAAGCTAAAATGGAAAGAAATTTGCAAAAAGGCTCTTCAAGCATTAACATTCAAGTAGTAGATAGGGAGAGAAAAGACTATAATGTATGTAAGAATAATGGAGTATTTCTTCCACATGCACGTTCTCACATGTATTTTGGAACACAGTTAAGAGGTCTATAAGTAGGAAAAGAGACTTAGAGTTAGAGCATGCAAACTATAGAATATAGTAATCTAAAACTTCAGAAGCAACGGGTTGAATGAGAATATTGTATTGTCATTTAAAATATAGATTGAGCAAATATAACCCTAGGCATAAGTGTCTCACAACATCTGTGCAACACTCAAGGCCAATAACCAGCATATACCTTGCTGGATGTGAAAATAGAAATGAGAAGTTTATTTTTTTTAAGTGCAGAAAATCTGTTGTGCAGAAGGAAAGAGTTACTTGGTGGTGGGTAGCTGCAAAACCAGATTGCTGCAGACCCCTTTTAGGACCAAGGTGTTGGATTGGATGACCTCTGAATCTTTGTGCACAAGGACTTATTCTGATAGAAAACAGAGGAAAAGGTTTCACAAACCTTAGATCAGATATTTCATATTTATTTTTCTTTATCTCATTTTCTGTTTCCTCTTTTTTTTATACCTCCTGTCCCTACTTCCTTTCTTCCTTTCTTCATTCTTTCTTTCCTTTATTTTCCTGGCAGAGCAGAAATATTTCAACAGATAAGTTGAATATTAGTGGTTGTTTTGTGACAGACTTTTTGGACACTAAAAGAGGTCACAGGAATGGTTGTGTCCAGATGTGGAGAAAGCCTCAAGAGCCACTGCTCATTGTCTGTTTCCAAAAAAGAGCGCCCCAGGAAGCCGGCCTAGAATGCTTCTGCCGCCCGAGATGGAATGACGTGCAGATGTGATCACGTAGGGGGATTTATTCTGCAAGCCTTCACATGTGAACATCCCCAAGTTGTTTTAATTATGCCAATACAGGAAGGAGATGATGAAGGGGAAAGAAACAATTAATCCTCTTTATTTGGATGAGAGCTGGGATAATTTTTAATGATTTTCACCAAAGCAGACGTAGTTTCTTAAAGACAAAAAGTTCTCTGACACGAATTAGTTGAATTCATGTGCAGAATGTAAGAATGTTGGTTACAGAAAAGAGAGAGAGAGAGAGAGAGAGAGAGAGAGAGAGAGAGAAAGGAAGAAAGAAGGCAAGCTGATTACAGTCATAGAACAGGACAGACAACAAGCTAAAAATTTATACCACCCAAAGTGAAATAAAACAAATGGTACTCCTCCCGCCCCTCATATCAAGGCAGACACTTAAAGGCGTTTGTATGTGCATTAATTATATTATTCTCCATGGCAGTGCAAGGCCATGAAAAGAAAAAAAGGCCTTTAACCACTCCTTGCTCCAGGATTGAACTATACCATGTACATTCACATCTGCTCTAAATTAGAGACAGATGCGCAACGCAAATAAATACGACACACAAAAAAGAACTGAAACCCTACCCTGCCTCATGTGTAATCTAGTTGAGTCAGGTTAGGATGATCCATATGCTGAAAAAATGTTATATAGGAAATAACATTTTGAAGCCCTAACAGAAGGCTAAGAAACCTGATTCTTTTCAAAAGTTTCTTTCTTCTTGTTTTCATTTCTTAAAAAGAAAGGTGGGGGAGGGAGGAAAGAAGGAATGTAGGGAGAGAGAAGCATTGCTAGACAAATCAGAACACTCAATAAACTTTGATTTTCAGTTAAACAGTAAATAATTTTTTTAGTATAAGTATGTCCCAAATATTGTATGGGGCATACTTTTATACTGAATAATATATACATGTTATTTTTGTGTATATATAGAGAGAATGTATATATATATATTTTAAGATAAAAGTTTTTTTTTTAATTATTTATTGTTTAATATTCACATTTAACTGGGCTCCGGTAATTTCTTTTTCTGGCATTAAACCTGGCAGTGTTAGCAGAGAGGCAGAAATTCTATATACTAAGTACATGACTACTCTGATTTTCTTTTTAATTTTGTAACACGACCTACAAGCATTTATATACACTTACTAATTCAATAAGAAGATACAATAAATACTGCTATGAAAGCATTTTAAGTTTGTTTTCAAGAAGCTCACTATATTTGTAATTCAAGACTTAGTCTAGTTGTCTAGTGCTAAATACTGTGTTTTCGCTGGGATAATTGCTTCAATTCTTAGCTTGACTTTGAATATGGTAATCCATTTCTTTGTATTCATTGATTTGATTGGGTAGGACAGTATACCAAGTGAAGTGTCTAGAAATGGCAAAGGTGGCACATCCAATACTGATCATGCAAGTTCTCTAATGGTATTAAAAGCAAAAGGTCCACCGGGAAAAATAATTGATCTCTGCTTATCTTCCCACAAAGAGTTTTCATTTTCTCAACTGGCATGACTACAATCTTTTAAATATCATGAAAGAAGTACATTAAAAACATTTTTAGAAAGTTATAATGGGCAATAATTTAATGAAATTTCAACACACTATAAATTCCACATATATTTGTCTATATTAAAAATAAAAACAATTTTTAATTTTGTAAATAATTTTTTCATTTGTAGTTTGCAAGACATATCAAGAAATCTGAAGGTCAGAAAATTCCTAAAGTTGAGTTACAAATATCAATTTATGGAGTAAAAATTCTAGAACCCAAAACAAAGGTAAGGTTTATTTTTTAAATGTCAAAAGTGCTTTAATCTTTAATTGTAGTTACATGCTTATTTTAATAAATACTTAAAATGTGTTACCAACTTGAACTGTTTTGTTCTCAGTCAATGAATGTTTAAAACTCTATAGGATTTTTATGGGGAAAAAGAACTTTGGGGATTGCTTTCTGAGTGGTCTGTTTTTCAGCCTATATTTAGGATGTTATAATTTACATTAAGTGTATTTAACAGTATTTAGTCTTGTATTTAGGAATTTTCTTCCTGTGCTCTGAATGATATGCATAAAGGGTGGTTCACTGAGTATGAAAGAAGACAAAAGCTGTGTGTTGTTTCTTAAAAATACCCTGGACTGACGTACTGCCCATAGGCAGTCAGCGTATATTGTTTTACCAGGGCTGCCATGATAGAATACCACAGACCTGGCGTCTCCAACAAGAGATGCTTATTTTCTCACTGATCTGGAAGCTGCCGTTGGTTTCCTATGAGGCTTCTCTCCTTGGCTTGCAGATGGCTGCCCTCTTGGCTGCCCTTTCACATTCACATGGTCATCTGTGCATTCACATCCCTGGTGCCTCTTTGTGTGTCCAATTTTCCATCAGCTTGGAAGGAGCCCTTGATGGCCTCATTTTAACTCAATCACCTCTATCAAGTGTTATCTCCAAAGACAGTCACGTTCTGAGGTTATGGGGGTGCTTAAGGTTAGGAATTTTGGGGGAACACTATTCTGCTCATATAACAGAATAAACTTAAGTTTCTTGTGTTTAAGAGCTTTTTCCCCTGTAAACCGAATAAAGCTTTTTTTTGTTGTTTTGTTTTGTTTTTTTGGTTAAACATACTGCTTTATTTCACATATTTTTTAGTTAAATGTATGAGGATGGCATTGGTGAATAAGATTATGTAGGTTTCAAGTGTACATTTCTATGGTACATTATCTGTATATTGCATTGTACACCCACCACCCCCTGTCAGATTGTCTTCTGCCACCATATATTTGGTCCCCTTTTCCCTTTACTGCCACCTCTCATGCCCTTCTTTCTGGTAACCACAATATTGTTATGTGTCTGTCAGTTTTAGTTTTATATCCCCCATGTGAGTGAAACCCGTTCTGGGTTCACATTCATTAATATGTACTTGTTATGGACTGAAATGTTTCTGCCCCAAATTCCTATGTGAAAGTGCTAATCTCTGATGTGACTGTCTTTGGAGATAGGGCTTTTAAGGCTGCAAGCCCAGCTGAGAGAAGCTTCAGCAGAAGGTGCTGACATCTTAATATTGGACTTCTAGCCTCTGGAACTGTGAGGAAATTAATTTCTGTTATTTAAGCCATCAAATCAGTAGTATTTTGTTATGGTAGCCCTAACAAACCAATACAGCACTTTATTCACAATGCCTCAGAATTATTGTTTAGTAATGTTGATAAGATCATGAGAATCACTTCGGCAAAAATGATTAACATTCAACTCTAGTTATTTATAAATACGTATTGCCAGTGTTTCCCTTTAACACTGCAAGTTCTTTACGGACAAATTAATTCAGTTTGAAAGTCCAAGAAAACCCTAACCTGTAAACAGATTATGAAAATATTTTCCACAGGTCTGCAACTTTTTCACTAGTTTAGTATTTGCCATTGGTATTTTTGTCTCTGTGCATACCACACCCCCTAACAATGGCTTGCTATTCAAAGTGAGGTCTGTGGGCCAGCATCATCTGGGAGCTTGTTAGGAGTGGAGAACCTCAGGCCCCATTCTAGACCTATGGAATCTGAATCTGCAATTTAAATAGAAGCACAGTGATTCTTGTGCACACTTAGCTTCAAGGGGTCCTGGTGCACTGCATAGTCTGCTAGCTTCATGCAGTAACCCACGTTTCTCAATTAGAGTCCAGGGAATGCTTGCTTTAAAAATTCTTGAGCCATTTGCAAAAATAAGTTCTAAGGCCCTGTTGTAGGCTACAGATTCAGAATCTCCATGGAATTTTTATTTTTTTAAAATATGTTTGAGGATAACTGGATTGTGGCATGGATACACCCATGCTATTGTTCAATTCCAAATGACAGAACAATGGCATTCCTTCAGGCTTTCAAACCATAGATTTAGGACCTCCCACAATTATCCTGTCTAATTTCCTCTTATTATTCTACTCTCAGTATTAAACAATAAAGAGTTGGAGACTTTATTTTGATTATGGCTATTTCCAAATAGCTATTGCTGAGGTGGCTGAAAGCAGACAAAGAGGTGATGAAAGGATAGTGGAAGGTCTATTCAAGCGCACGCACACGCGCGTGCACACACAGACACAGTCTGCTGGGAAACAAGGCAGTTAAAGATGAGGCATTATCTACTGAGCAGTTAGGTTGGCTGAGATGAATTCATTAGGCAAATGGTAGTTAAAATAGGTTGAGGAAGCAGTAAGTTACAGAGTGACAACGCAACGAAAAGCGTAGCAACCACTGTGTAGTGTTATGTGCAATTGAAAAGAAAAATAATCCTAGTCATTCATTTCCTTTTTAAAATTAAATGGATATATAGTGACAAATGTCCAGACAGAACAAGGAAAACAACAAAGTATGGTGCTCCTAAAATAAATTTATTTATAGTAAAATAGGTATGAGGCAGGATTTAAAAATCGGTTATTAATATAACATGGGCTTGATAGGAAATAAACTATTTTCTATCCCACTTGAGGGGATGCAAATGGAAGTGGAAAGCAATCTCAGTTGGCTTCAGTACCTTTCTTTCTGTATCATTTTTTGTTTCTGCTTTTCTCATTTGTCTTGCAAATGAAGATTATACAGTACAGGAAAGAGTTGTTACAGGTGAATTGGGGTTTTACTTATTTTTTGTTCCAATTCCAGTAAAATGCCATCTGTGTTAAAGGATAAATGTGTTCCCACAGTGCTTCATTGTGTTTCTAAGTCTCTTTATCCTGTCTCACCAAATATTAGCACTGCATTTAAAATTCATAAAGATCTATCACAACAACAACAAAAACCTCATGCAAATAATAAAATTATAGGTTTTAGCTTTCTAGGTTTTTTTTGTAGGAAGCTACATCTGCTAATCTAAACAAAGATTACAAATAAACATTTGTGCTATGTATTTGACAGCGGATGATTCCCTAACTTTTGTAACTAACCTTTCTGTGATCATACTGGTTGGTGAGTGACTGAGGGACTGTATAGGTTTCCCCATCATTTATGTGTATGGTGTGTTTTCATATTATTTATGTAATTTTCTATAAATTGAAAACATGAATTATTTTTTCTATATTGTATGGCAAAGATATTTTCTCTTTATGTATTATTAACATAATTATACAATTAATAAACTGGTATAGACCTTCTATCAGTACTTCATAGCTATGGTGCAGCTGAAGTCTATTATTTGATTGACATTAATGTATTAACATTAAAACAAACAAAAAATATGTCAATTCGAAGAGACTGGTTGATTAGGCAAAGTATAGGAGAAGGAAAGCCCCAGAGAGATGTGGTCATTGTCCATCCCGGCACTAACCGCAAGAAAGGGAAGATGCCCTCATGAACAGCTTTTGTAAGTTGATCCCTTCTTTTGAGCATTGTTCTTGCCTGCTGTTGAAATAGATGGATCAGTCTATCTAATAATGACAGGAAACATTACAATCATACAGTAGACTTCTTCATTTTAGTTGTCACGCTTGCCAAGCTACCCTTTGATGACTTACAATTTCGTTTGTATGCAGGGAAAGAATGCACTGCTATAGACAAATCCTCTTAACATTTATTTGTGTATCTCATTTATGTACTCATTTTCAGTTCGATGGACAGTAATGTAAATCTGACTTACCAAATCGCAGCAAGCACAGAAAGCCTCTGATCCTCTGATCCTCCAGTATTTTGCTTGTATTTTTTTAAGTTCCATTGGAATGACTATCTTAGTTTAATCCTGACTCAGGAAGTCCATCTCCATTACGTATTTGTTAAGTTTGCGGTGCGTGTAATTAGAAAACCAAAGTTTGACAGATGATTGTTTCACTTTTAGAGTCATAAGTTGTATGTTATTAACACAAGCTGATATTTCAGAAAGTGGAAGAAAAACCTCTTCAACTATGTTTATTTCCACGTGTTCACAGGAAGTCCAACACAATTGCCAGCTTCATAGAATATCATTTTGTGCAGATGATAAAACTGACAAGAGGATATTCACTTTCATATGCAAAGATTCTGAGTCAAATAAACATTTGTGCTATGTATTTGACAGCGAAAAGTGTGTAAGTATGCCAGATGTTTTAGGGTGGTTTGTTCTGTCTTACAATCCAGGAATTGTCTTGTTTCCGACATCAGTAAAGTATGTGGAAATGAATGAGGTCTGCAAATACTTAAATACACTAATAGATCCATCCTGTCATGAGAATATACTCCAAGATTTCATCCTTAACTAAATTCTCATGTCAGGAACACAAGCTTGCATGCAAATTTCTTTTCTTAGAATGTCATGCCTGCTTATGTTATGCATTTGTTTATCTTATAATCATAATTTATTTGTAATTTTAATCTCAAATGTGAGTTAGTAATATGCACATAATGCATATGCATGTAATGGTGAGCAGAGTTTTTTTTTTTCTGGAATGTAATAAATCTGATGAAAATATTTTAAACTCCAGGAAATAAAATCTTTATGGCTTCTTTGAAAACATCCAATACTTTGAAAATGTGGTTCTTAATATTCAGAAAATTTAATATATAGAAAGGTAATAGAATCATATGTGCATGTGTGTTAGCCTGTGAATGTAGTATAAAGTTCTTAGCAAGTAAGAACAGTCAGGGAATTCCAAAGTGAAGTTGTGCCACAGTTTTTTAATCTTCTGGAATCTGTTGGAAAATCCTGTGTCTTGATTATAAGCATAAGCTAATGCTAATCATAACCTAGACTGAGGTCAGTTATAAAACATAAGACGTGAATTCCAAGCACACATTGCAGCCATTGATGGCTTTAATGAAGGAAGAACATCTAACCTCAACAACATTTTTGGCTTAGACAGGAAAAGGACTTAATTTATTTGTTTGCCCATTTTTCATGCTGTCAAAAATGTCAAAGGACTAATATTGTCACTACTATACAATTTGTCTGTTTTCAGTATGTGAACTTCTTGAAAATAAATACCTTTTTATTTGTCCATATAACTCCTACAACAGGTGGACAATAGATGCTCAATGAATGTTTCCTTACAGAAAAAGACCATGTGGAAAATTTTTTAAAAGTAGAGCAAGTTATTATCTGTATCTGTTAAGCTATAGTGCTGTAAAAAGGAAAACCAATGTGCTAAATTAATTGGCATCAAAATATCTTTTGAGAATTTAATGAATATTTTGGAACATCTCATCAGAAAAATACGGTTAACCATTTAAGAAATACTGTGTGCACAGTAAGTCATTTTATATTAAGTTCAAGTTGTTTTTGAAATTTATCCTATTGAATGAATGCATTACATTTAATGTTCAAGTGCTTTTTGACTATGATTGCAAACATTTTCCTCCACGTGATAGAGAAGATTAAAGTAGACATTCTCTATGTGTAAGATATAATAACCTTTTATTACTTACACCCAGCAGTAAACATAGTTGTCTTTTTTTAAAAAAAAATATTTATTTATTTTTAGAAAGAGAGGAAGGGAAGGAGAAAGAGAGGGAGAGAAACATCAATGTGGGGGTTGCCTCTCGCACGTCCCCTACTGGGGACCTGGCTCTGCAACCCAAACCTGTGCCCTGACTGGGAATCGAACCAGAGACCCTTTGGTTTGCATGCTCGCGCTCAGTCTATGGAGCTCTTTCTTGGCTTACACATTGAAATAAACTTCCTTGAGGTACATTGAAATAATCATAATCAGAGATTGTTATAAGTAGTAGCCTTCATACAGTTTGGTGAGCTCGGTTTTATCTTTCTTTATTTGATCCCTATCCAAATTGGTTACATGATTATTTAAAGCATAAGCTTGCCAGAATCCCTGCTTCAAAAGTATAGACTCTATTGCTGCCTGGGCATAATTGTTTGTAACTGATTTCTGTAATTTCAATAATTTGATGTATTATTCTCTTTTTATATAGTATATTAGCTTTCTTTTTTTCTTAACGGTTGAAAAAAGTCTCTTGAAGCCTACAGCAATGGCTTATAAACAGTAGTGTGCATAATATTCATAAGGAGGGTCTTTTAAAATAGAGATTTTTGGTGCTCACTTCAAAAAAATAAATTAATATTGACTAGGGCTGGAGCTCAGGAAATAGTAAGTTCACCAAGCAATTCTGCTACAGGTAGGTGAACTCTGAGCTTTGAAAAGCAAGGGTCCAAGATATCTCTCCAACTCTAAGTTGACATTACATTTATGAGCTCAAAGATAACATATTTCCTTATGTTATTTTTACCTCAAGATTTTATTTATTCTAATTATAATAATGGCTCTATTTATCAAATATATGCAGAATTTTTGCTGTGCTAATTAAAATAAAATAACTTTTATTTTAAATAGCAAAGCATAGAGTAGCATTCATACCACGATGCCATATTACTTTCATAACTGTGGCCTGTTGCAGAGTCGATCTGCTCTTGTCAAGGCCTGTGTCTTTTCAGCACTTCTGTGAGATTATTGAGCATTTGAAAGATAGATAAAACCTATCCTAGTATGCTACAAGTCTGAAATTCACTGCTTCATTAACAGTATCATGGTGTGTTAATGAGTCTACCCCCTTCGATGGCGGCAGCAAAGATCACATGGGGAACTAGCTCACTCAGCCCTGCCAAGCCGTAAAGAGAGGCTGAGGGAGGAAGCGGAGCCCCCACCCCCACCAGGCAGTGACGAGGCAGTGTTCTTCCATTCCCACTTCCATTTCCCCCCGGAACGCCGTCAGAGTGAGCCACCCAAAACACAACGTTTAGATCATTTCTAGAGTCTCATATAATTTCTAAACTATCCAGGATTCAATTAAAAATCCTTAATCATATTAAGAAACAGGAAGATCTTAAACTAAATGAAAAAAGGTAACCAATAAGTCCCAACACTGAGATGAGAGAGATTAGAATTACTAGACAAAGATCTTAAAAGCACCATCATTAAAAGATATACAATGATACGCTTGAAACAAATGACTTTTCCAGAAAATCTTATCAAAGAAATAGAAAAGCTAATCAAATCAAGACAGAATATGAAAGGAAACCTATGTACTAAAATAGACGATGTTCTGGGTTATAAAATACATTTCAAAAATTTATTGTCAAAGAAAGAATAATAAAGAAATTAATCTAAAAATCAATAACAGAAAGATAACAAAAAATACTAAAAAACTTGAAAATGAAACATCACACTTGTAAACATTCTATATGTCAGAAAGGAATTTGCAAAAGAAATATTTTAAGATGGAGTAAAGTGCATATAAATGAAATGTAAAATAACACTTTTTGTGATTCAGGAAAGCAGTACTAAGTGAGAAATGTACTGTAGATATAACAACTAAGTTAATACATTAGAACAAGGAAAGTCTCAAATCATAATCTAAGCTCCCACTTCAAGTACCCAGGAACCAAAATGTCAAAATAAACTCAAAGTAAGCAGAAGGAAGAAAGTAAAAGAGATAAAAGAAGTTAATAAAATTGAGAACAAAAACAGTAGAGAAAATCAAACACAAAGAGCTGTGTCTCTAAAAGATCATAGAAATAACAACAATTTAGTAAGATTGGCAAAGAAAAAAAAAGACACAAGTTACCAATGTCAGGAATGAATAGGAAATTTCACTGCAGACACTCCAGATAGCAAAAGAATAATAATAAGATGCTATAACTAATTGTATATACATAAATTTGGCAAGATAGATGAATTGAATCAACTTTCCAAGAAATACAAGCTACATTACATCACCCAATATATTAAATTTATAATTTGAATAGACCCATAACTATAAAGGAAATTGAATTTATAACAATGCATATTTAAAGGGAAATTTCCAGGCCTAGATGGTTTCACTGGAGGAATCTACAAGACACTTAAAGAAGAATTAACATTCTACACAACCTATTTCAAAAAATAGAAGTGGTAAAAGCACTCCCCAATTCATTTATGAAACTAATATTTCCCTGATAGCAAAACTGAGTATAGAGCAAAAAAAAAGACCAAACTATATTCCTTAAGATTATATATGCAGTGATTACTAACAAATTATTAACAGATATAATTCAGAAAAATATAAAAAGAATTATAAACCAAGACCAAGTGGAGTTTGCTCCTAGGATGAAAGTCTTCTTCAACAAATATCCAACAATGTAATCAAAAATCATATGATCATATCAATGTTTTAAAAATATTTTTAGAAAATCAACATCCATTCTTGATTAAAAACTGTGAGACAAAAAGAATTATTCTGTATCTTGAGTGTATTAATATTAGTCTTAATTGGTTGGGATTTGCACTAACTATTGTTACTATTTCGGGAAAATGCGTAAAGGGTATACAGGATCTCTCTATATTATTTCTCACAACTTCATATAAATCTAAAATTATCTAAAAATAAAAGTTTATTTTTATTTTGGGAAAAAATTATGGCCTATTTGGACTAATCTTTTCATATTAAGTAAATCCAGGTCAGAGAGATTTAGTTCCTTTCCCAGAGTCATGAATCTAGGTAGTGACAAAATCAAAAAATTCCCATTTTTACAACCTTCCTATCATATTACTTGCATGACTGTGACTTCTTTATAGTCTCTGTGCTCTTAATGGGGCTTTTATTCTATTTTTTCATTGTGTTTAATATAGCTAATACTTCTGTGAATTTCTAAAAGCTGCTTGATATTTAGATGAAGGCATATCATAGTATGCTACAAAACTGGAACTCACTTTATTAGTATCATCATGTAGTGTTAAGATTGGATGCTGCTCTGGCCAGTGTGGCTCGGTTGAACCTTGTCCTGCAAAGTGAGGGTTCGCCAGTTCACTTTTCAGCTGGGGCACATGTGGGTTCTGTCCCTAGTCAGGGTGTGTGGGAGAGGTAACCAATTGATATTCTTTTCTCACATCAATGTTTCTACCTTGCCTTCTCTCTAAAAAATAAATAAATAAAATGTTTAAATTAAAGATTTAATGTTTATACAACCTCTATAGTCATCTCATTAAATTTCAAAAGTGAAATTAGTCTATGGATACATAGGTGGGGCAAAATTAGGCTTACAGCTGTGAGTACGTGAAACAGTTTATCTTGTGTTATTGTTTATTAATTACTGTATTATTTT